ATTAATTGTATAGTCTGGGGAACTCAAGACAATTTTAGATTAAAATATTTTGTTTATATTTTAGCGATTCAACTTTAGGATTTTACCCAGAGGTTTTACCTGGAGGGTTCACCTTCAGGATTTCACCTTGAAGGTTCACCCGTGGATCAACCCAGGGTTCGCTCGAGAGTTCAACCGTGGGGACACAGTAAACCGGTTTACCTAAACACTGGTACATATATTCATGGTTCATTGGTTTATTAGCCCCATGGCCCACTATTTTACTGGTTTTACATAGATCTTACTTTATTTGAATGTTCCTCAGTTTAATTATAATCATTAGTGTGCTTTACACGTTTCACACTTTTCAGCCCCGGGTACGGAAAAATATATGGCCCTGAAAAAGAGTTAAAAAAAAACAATACACATATCAAAATAAATATAATAAATCAATAAATAAAAATATATATTTTACAATATTTATACCAACTGTTTATTTACAAAAAAAATACTTATGAACTGCGTCACAAAAAGTCTACATCAACATGAAATTTAAATTTTCTTAATCTACCTAAGAAAAAGTAGGTACCTAAAACTAGATTAATTATATTATTTTTACTTAAACTATTATATTGGCTTAAATATATTTATCAAATTAATTTTATATAAGTTTACTTCCTCCGTACCAATAAAGAAAACAAATTATAAAATTCATATTTTTTGACCTTCACCGTATAAGGTACTTACAAAAATTCCGTATGGTGCAGCCTTTTTGCGATACATTGTACATATTATAAACATATAAGTAGAATATTTATCACATTTAAATAAAAGTAAAATACTTATTCTATCGAATTTTATAAATTTACGGCTTATCTAGGCACTTATTTTTATTTACACTTGTTGTGGGTACAAACATAGTATGTTTAGGTAATATGCACGCATAATATACATTTATAATAACAAATAATGTACAACATTAATTATAATAGGTGTCGACCATATAAAGTAAGTATAGATCGATTAAAACGAAATAGCACAGCCAGATCAAAAAAATGGGAGGAGTGGTTTATTTGATCACCAATAAAATAAGCGTTTTAGCAGTAGTCTTTGCAAAAGGTCTAGTGATTTCTTTTCATATTAATTGAAATAAAGCGAATAAACATAATTAAAAATGGTACGCTGAAAAGTATTCTACAAACTATTAACCATTTGTCATTTAAATATACGCCTTTTTATACTCAATTACTATGGAAGTTGACGTAACATTCATACTAAAAATAATAAAATAACTGTAAACTTGATACCTTTTGCAAATATATTAATATTTATAGTTACTGTAAATTACAAGATTTATTTGGAAATCACTAGAGTTATTTTTAGTGGTTTTAGCGTGTTAGTCTAGCGCTAATATAGCGTCAGATCCAGATCCAGAAAATGCTATCAAAGTCCAGTAATCTCTTATATTTGAAATACGATAAGTATTCAAAAGTAATAATTTGCATATTTAGCTCCGACACTGATATTAATTTCATCTGATAGTCATGACCGCTGATCTGTATTATTTTACTGGATAGGATATAGCCGCCTAAAAAGCGTTCCGAAAAATAGGCCGATTTGGGCAAATAATGGCGGACCGGATGTTAATTTATATAACCTCTATTTCCATTTGTCGTCACATCTGTCATTTAATTGTGTCAACAAATTACGATGAAGACGTGTTTTTATTGTGGAAAACGAAGTGAAAAGAGTGTATGTACTCTTCAATCCCTTTTTTGTTGAAGTCTCCATAGGTTATTAAAAAATACCCAGTGCAGTTTTAAAAATGTTCCTTTCCACTATAGGTACTTTAGAACTGAACCTTTATCTTGCTATTTACGTAGGTCGTATCGGATAGCATTACTATGATATAAACAATTAACATTCATTCGTAAAGACAATATAATGCTTCACGTTTCCATTTTTATATTTTCTTTCATAAAAAATCAAATTATGGGTGAATTGTCTCGAAGGACATTGCCCGCAAAAGGAATAGAAGAAGAATAAGAAGAAGAACTAATCAAATTATAGGTTAGGTATGTAAAATTTTTCCGCCATAATTTGCCCAAATCAGCTAGCAGTGTAGCTCTTCCACATAGTAAGAGAAAATCAAAGTATGTGGGCTCTTCCGGTTTCCTTGGTGGAACGGATTTTTAGTATATCAAATATAGCCCATATCCTATCTAGTAAAATAATACAGATGATTGGTCATAACGTAAACGTCAAAACTGCTGAATGCATCATAGTCGATTAAAGGAGTCACTACCTGCAACAAGATGAAAAATAGAAGATATTTCAAAATGACATAATTCTAAAAATATTATCAGTCCTCCTAATTCATTGAAGGCAGAATTACTCTTAATAGCAAGGCCACATAAAAACAAATTTAAAAAATATATTATAGACAAGATGGCCCAAGAAATAGGAATTTAAATTCTCAGATTGTCTCCTTATCACGCAGAGTTAAATCCCATTGAACTCATCTGGCCACAATTAAAAGGTTATATTTCTCGAAACATAATTATTTAAAGAACCTCATGTGTGAAATTTGCTTTTGAAGGTAGTTTCAGGTGTAAATAGAGAACATTGGAGAAAATGCATTGATCGTGTTAAAAAGGTGTAAATGGAGAACATTTGAGAAAATGCATTGATCATGTTAAAAAGGTGGAAAATTCATTTTGGAAAGTGGATATAGCAATGGAAAACTTAATAGACCCTATAATAATAAACCTCAGAAAAGACAATGATAATGATAGGGTCCGATTACAATTAGAAGAACACAGCTACGTCATCATTTAGCAAAGTAGTTAATTAGTTATGGCCGTCTACTGGGGTTTAGTGGAGTGTTAATTTTGTACGAATATAGAAAATATTGTTTTATACCTAACAACATACTTATTTTTTATTTATTGTTACTTATAGATAATATATATCCGAAATTTGAAGTAATAGTTATGACGTAGCGGTGTTCTTCTAATTGTAATCGGACCCTACCAGTAGTTATAGGAGAGACAGTGGCTTTTAAAGATAGTTCTTAAATTTTTTTTTAATATTTGATTTTAGGTACTGAAGTGTTACTTAATGCCAAGAGCCTAAAAAAAGTTTATTTCCATACAACATATAATCCCTCCTTGTTATTTATGGTTAAATTTAATTCGTTCAGTGTAAAAGCATAAGATTTATTTTTATATTTCGTTAATAACATAACTTTTTTCATTCAAAATTTAATCTACGAAGTGCGTATATACCATTTTATATGCCGTGACCTTAATCCTTACTTTTACTACACTCCTCTTTAATTCAGTGTCATATTTTTATGTTCATTTAAATGATTTCATTTAGAATATTAGATTTAAAAAGTCAATAAAAAGCCACATTATTAATCCAGGTAGATTAGATATGGTTAAGCATGAAGAGATGAGTTAAGAATACAAGAGAATGTGCGCAAAGGGTATAATAAAGAACAAATATAATAGAGCTCAGCCAACCCTCATAAAACATGTCAGATTCGGATCAGAATAAAATACAATTTACTTAAAAATAAAAATATTAAATTTTAATAACTGAGTAATTATTATTTTTTTAATTCTTCAAGATAAAACATACGTTTTCTCATATCCAATAATTACTTTTCACTAAATACTTTTTGTTTTCTAATAATTATTATACTTAACTTTGCAATATCGGTAAACATCCGTTAAAAATATTGCTATAAGTAATTATAAATAATTACATAGCCAGTTCATATATAGGAAAGTCAATTTTAAAAAACTTCCAACCCTTAATATGTTGATTCCGGTAAACAATATGAAAAAATAGAAAAGCACGTCAATTTCATCTTCAAGAGGAAAACATTTAATGAATATTTTTAGCCTTTGTTGTTCAATCCTCTATAAGGGACATATGTTACCTTTAGAATCTAAAATTAAAAAGGTGTCAAGTGGAACATCATTTTAAATCTAATTTCATAAAGAATTCAGCAGTTTGACTATTCATTGCGTTACTTTTAATTTTAGCACCTTCTACCAGGATAAAAAACTGTTCATTTGAAAGCTCATTTTATTATTAATTCACAATATAACAAAACATAATTAATTAAATCAGGGACTTAAATAACTGATAAATCATGTATTGAGAAATGCAAAGTTCATTCGCAAATAAATTTATGTTAAGTAATAAATCACTAATAAAATTAGCTGTCAAATAGTCTCACACTTTACAATACGTAAGTTTTTTATTTTGCTAGAGGGTACCAAAATCAAAAGCAATGCAATTAATACCTAGTAATACTGTTGGGTAGGTGGGAAGTTTTCAAATAGACACCTGTATACAAAAGGAGAAGAAATACACATTCAATAAATGTAAACAAAAATGAAATGAATACAAATTAGAGAATCTTTTTATCAGTCTTTACAAATGTAACTAATACAATACTTTTTCTACGGGTATAACACTAAATATAATACTAAAAATTTGATGAATTTGCCAATTAGTAAAACATTTGTATTCTTTACCTTAAATATTTCTGGTTTTAAGTTGACGCATGCCAGTTTTCAATGTTTGACATTGCATGATACACATGATGTTATTGAAATAATAAGGTAATAAAATCATTGTGTTTTTAGCTAAGGAAATTAAATTATTGTATGTTATCTGATAAGGAGAAATTTTGTCAACGTACCTTATTTCTTAATAAAAACAATTGAGATACGGCAGTTTTGTTTTACATATATTTTTTCTCAGATATGAAATGTCATATCTAGAGGTAAGTTTGAAAATATCCTGTTATAGTAACTATTTCTACTGACAACTGACACTTGCAAAGCAAAGTTGTGCATTATTTCCGTTAATATTAAAGGTAGGCCACCATATTTAAAGCTATACCCTTACTATTATCTGTTAAAATTTTGAAAAACAAAGCCGTTAAATATTGTAATTCTATCTTAAGCAATCTTTATTGTACATATGACTTATAATTTTAATCAGTTAGACTTAAGATCCTGTTGTATATCTTCTAAAGTTTTGCCTTTAGTTTCTGGCACCAAAATTCCAACCAAAAAAGCGGAAACAATGTTACAAATGCCGAAAACGAAAAATGGAGCACACAATCCTAAAGACGAAGTTAACTGATAAAACAAAGTATTCATGAGAACATAACTAATAGCATAAGCAGCCATAACAATAGAAACGGCTTTAGCTTTAATACTAGCAGAAAAAAGTTCGCTTAACATTAGTGTTGGAATAATAGCGACCCCGAAAGAGACAAATATTAAAAACACTAACATTCCTGCTAAAGGAAACCATTTTAAATTTGAAAGGTCAATTTCTTTGATATATTGATCTACATAAAAATAAAAACCTTCCAACAAAAGCACGACTGCGGATAAAACTAAAGAAATGGATAAAGATTTCTTCCTACCGAGCTTTTCAGCAAAAACTGACGCTACTAAAAAGAGCGTAGCAGCAAGACCTGTGTAAATAATTGCTGATACTGACGGATCGACATTACCACCAGCCTTTAGGAAAATAAACTGAGTATAACTTATAAAAACAAACAATCCTGACAACATTTGAGATATTCGCATAAACAGACCAGCTACTAAAGCCCGTCGGTTGCTTTTTATAAAGAAGAGATCCTTTATAGTGCCTGATTCTGACATCTGCCTTTGCACATCAGACTTTAACGTTAAAAATTCATCATCAATATTTTCTTTAAGTCTAAATTTTCTAAGGGAAGTCTTAGCCTCTTCGTATTTTCCCTTCATGATATAAAAATAAGGTGATTCCGGCATGAACGAAAATGATATCACGAAAACTATTGGAACTGAGAGGCAAATTAAGGAAGTGTCTTTAACACTTAAGTAACTACCAACAATATTCATTAAAAATTGTCCTAAATACCCTGAAACAATCAAACTATTCCCCCATACCCCTCTAACTTCAGGAATTGCAACTTCCCCAATATATAAAGGCAAAGAAGAGAGTAAAAGCGCATCTCCTAAACCAGCAACAAATCTTGCAAAATACAAAACATACAAATTCGTAAAAAAATACTTTAAAATCCAACAGGCCGCAAATGGAACGCCACTGAACAAAAGTGTTGGTTTTCTTCCGAAACGATCAGGAAGGAGCAGGGTAAATGGCAGAGATATTAGTAGACCTACTGTGTTCAGTATTGGTATGTACGATGCTTCTTTATGTGTTAAATTGTAGTTTTCTTTATCGGTGACTATTTTTGGAATGAATGGTGAGGGCCAGGCTAAAACCATACCACTTGTGAAACTTGCCAGGCTACCTATAAAGAATTTTTAAATTATCGGATAGTCAATCAGCCGGTTTTGTTCTTAAATTATGCGCAACTTAAATTAGAAATGTCTTATTTAAATTATATTTAAAAAATAGTCAATAAATGGAGATGACAGACAAACAAAGAGTTAAAACACCTATACATTTAACCATCAATGGCGACCACAACAGTTGAAAATATGATAGAAAGATATTTCTTTAGTATAAAAATCGATCAAATACTTGTATTGCGTCCTTTTTTAAATTTTTTCTTCAAGATATGGAATCTGTTTGCCTCTCGGTTATCCACCATTTATAAAATGGTTGGGACGCATAAAGGCACATACAGAAAAATAGTGGAGAGATTTGTTATGAAAATTTAATGAAATGTTCGAAAAAAGGCGAAAAATCGAATTATTTTTGAAAAAATTTGAATAACTAAGAAGAGAACCAAATAATTTTTGTCATGCTTTGTTGAAAACATGCAGAGCAGTTTATTCAGTGTATGCGTCAAGTACGGAAAATATTCCTATTTATAATTTTGGTTTGGGTATTTCTTAATATACAGTAGAAAGACGATAATCCGGATTATCAAAAGTCCGGATTTTCGAAAAGAACCAAAATAATGTCCTTTGAGTTTTAAAATCAAAAATCGACCTGTTTCCGGCATTTCTAATATTATTGTTTATTTAGCTAATAATGAATTTATTCTTTACTTTATGGACCCAGTGTATGTATATTAATGAAAGAATATACATACATATATTATGTAATGTATATATACTATAGTTTTTTGAACTGCAGTGCTTTTTTGTGGCCCAGTCTTTGATTTGTTTTAATTAAATCCAGATTATCGATGTTTGGATTATCGACGCTCAACTGTGTATTAATAATTTTTTAACAAAAAAGATTTTTAATATTAAACTAAAATGGAACTGAATATTGTTTAAATGATCCAATTTACTTCTTGATAATAGCTAAGCCAATATTCAAATTTCTTGACTTTAGCTGATTATTGTCTTCTATGTTTTTCATATTAATATCATAATATGTCGCGCATTAGTTGGTGAGTTAAACAAACAATAATCGTTTTGTATGAAATTTATTTAAAACACTTAAAAACATTTTTATGCAAACAATATTAAAAAAAAAAAAAATAATTAAAAAAGTCAAAAAATCCAATTTTTTGTTTTATTTTCATTTTTGCTTTTTTTGAGTTTACTAAGAAGATATAGGTATAGACATTGCACCCTTTTAAAGGAAATTTATTATTTTTTTTTATATACCTATCTCTGCTCAAAAAACGCAAAAAACAAAAAAGTCAAATAAAACAAAAAATTAATGATATATTTCGATAGGAAATCCCATTATCTATAAAAAAATTCCCATTAACTATACTTGAGTTTCACTTCGTTTTCCAGATATAATTTAAAAACTGTAAGGGTTGCATCTTCATCCCTATCTCCAATTTCCTGCCTCTAATTTAATAGCACTTTGAGGTTTTTTAATTTTAATGACCATTTGAACGATACATTGGATAAAAACTCATGATAGTGTTCGTTTCATTCTATATTATTCAATCTTGATTCCCATTTAAAATTTTAAAGGATTCAATTTTCGTACCCAACAGGTTCAATTTATCATACAAATCAATGTGCCAGATATAATAAGTATTATTTTCTTGTAAATATTCTTTGTTTTCTAATAGATATATTTGGAGTATGCATAATTTTTAACACAATAGGAATAGTTTCTTGCTTTACTGTAAATCCTGGCCAGGCAACCTGACGCGATGAATTAATTTCTTATGAAATTCTTATAAAATTCTATTAATATTACAATTAATGTAGTTTATGAACGTTATAGTGAACGAATACTACATTACAATAGGAAACGTTTTTAGTCCAAAATAAAATATTTAATTAGATTATCGATCACGGACATTTTTTATTTTACTTGCGTATATAATATATACACCTACACTAAACTAGATAATATTAAGACGTTCCTTTTGTTTGAGATAACTGACAAGTGTCAGCCACTAGCTGACTATTGTCAGATACTAATTACCAATTGTCAGAAAATAATTAGAAATTCTAGGCTTTCGTAGCTTTTAGATGAATTCAATCTTGAAAATAATAAAAATTGATACCTAACCTATATTTTTACATATTTGTTTTACTAAATTGATTACTAAACGCTGATGTAACTAAAATGTTATCAACTTACTTTATGAATATATTTAAAGATCTAAAATCGTTAAAATAAAATAATAACAGTTCAAAAACTAAATATTACCTATTTATTCTACAAACAACTTTGTTTGTATCATTTTTTACGTCATCACTAATACACCAGTACTAGGTTATGTAAAACCATTGTTTTCTGTCAAATGGCTCTGTCGAACTCTAATGAATATAATTAACACGGTTAATGTTGAGTAATAAAAATAAACCCTTCTATTTTTTTAAAAATTAAGAATTTATTCCGTACTTTACTAATACACTGCACTATTGTGAAATATCTTTGTATGAAGGTAAGTTAGAAAAATATGGTAATTCTATAATTAAATTTGTTTATTTTTAACAGATGTTGAAATTTACGACGTATGTGTTGTATTGAACTAAATAAACGTACGTTAAAACTTGTTTAATTTGTCAAAAAAAAAAAGTATAAAACATATAGTTAAATTTTTGGTTCTGCCAAATTAATGTAATATTTATTTTACGTCTGTATGCACAAAAATATTGAAAAAATAGAGGCCGAATATCCGTATTTGAAAAATTATTTGGTATCCAAAACATTTTTAACTGAAACAAGTTACCCCAGTAACCTTAACCTCAAATATCAATTAAAAAAAGTTTATATGAGTAATTTGTGTAATATCAACTGTTCTTACTTGGATAATGTTTATTTTTCATGATTTTTTGCATTAGATGTTAAATAATAATCAAAATTCATAAATTCTTATATGATAAATTTTAAAGCCTACTATTAGGGTATTCGTTAATTTCCAATACATAAATGTTTTAAATTAACAAATTTTCGTTAAATTTTTATCATATTTCTGCCTATAGAATAGGATTTTGCGATACAAATGCTAATGTTAATTGTGAAATGTTAATATTTAATACCAATTTACATATTATTTAACATACGTTACATTTATATTGTTTGTAAAATTTTTACATATTAGTTATAGAATTATCACTATCTACAGTATTTAAAATAACAAAAAATTACTTACCAATGACAATGGCAACAATTTGAGCCTCATTTCTGTATGTACCCACTTTTAAGAACATATTTAGGTAAATGTTGATCTTGCACAAGTTAGTTGTAAAATAAGCATTAAATTAACAAATACCTGTTAGGAACGTGTTCTTGACTAAAATCTGTAGACTTGTTAATATCGTATTTTAAAATATTTATCAGTATTATTTAATAATATACAAGGTTATTCATAACCGATTTTCGACAAAGGTGTATCTGAAACACAGTTTTAAAGTTTAATTTTTAATTCACGCTGTATCACAGTTCTTTTAATAGGTTACCTGTATGATGAGAAAAATGAAATTAATCAGTTAAAAAATGTTTACTGCACGGAACTTGATCGTTGTAAAATACTTAAATAAATTTTCACAAGGGTTTTCCAAGTTCACCAATAATAAATGTATGTATACGAGTAGGTACTACTTATGTTATCAACTTAATTTGGTCAAATTAAAATACAAATGATAAGTCAACAAGTAAACATATTTCCAAGAACGATAAAACTGTTGACATTTAATTTAATTTGCAGTGTATAGTTTGGTTCTTAGATATTTTCCTTGTTTCTGCAACTTCGGCAATCAAGTCGTACGGCACCATCATGCAGGTTAGTCCAGAATCGGAATTAAATTTGATGTTACAATTTACGTTTGGTCAGTGTTTAAACCTTTTACTTATAGTCCAAGGGTCTATTTATACTTCCTTATTATTAGTATTTGTATTAGAATTATGATTAAGCATTAAACTGGACTAAATATTCAAAAAAGGTATTTTTTTATTGGTACCCTATTTTACTTTTTTAAAGTACGCTTCAGCGTGTTTACAACGAACTTTAAAAAACGCGCGTTTATAGTTACCATGGCAACATCAACAACCCAAGAAACGTGATGTCTAAATGCCAACTGTTTAAATATTGATCTGACAGGAGTGCCTTGTAATGTCAAATAAAATATTTCTGAGAAATTTTTCAAAAAATTTATTCAAATATTTTTTCACATTCTTAATTGTTTAAATGAATGTGGAAAGTACAGTTAGTATTGTTTGAAATATTAAAACTTCGATTTTTTAAATAAGAGGAAATACTGTTCAAATTAAGATTGCTAACATTCTTGGAAGTCAATGAAGTTGTACTTCCATTAATAGCACTTTCAATAATATTTGAAACATTCTTCTTATTGCTAATGTTCTCTTCAACGTAACCAGTCGCCACAGCTGCCGATTTCCAACCTACTTGTCGTTGGATTTGATCTATTGTCATGCCGACATTTTCTGGAGATAAGCGAGAATAACTCGTTCATCTATATGTGTAACCATTTGCTCTTCCATCCACGTGTTGAATTTATCGTATTCTTTTTTATAAACCGCTTCGGATTTTTGTAGTATTAAGCGCGATTCTGCTTTATTATTTAAATATTTGAACTCATTTTAAACAATAACAACAGTTGCGACAATTAATCTTACGTGACAGACTGAAAATAAATTTTTGTTTGTCTCATTTTCATGACAACGAGGTATACTGATGTTATATCACAAATTCAATCATTTTCACTTATTAGTTCTTTTTTTTTTTTTTTTAATTTGGTGTCATCGGCGTCGACTACTACGGCCATTAGCCTCGTGGTATGTGTAGGCTTTGTTACTGTTTCCCAGCGCCACTTTAGGAACAGAACTGTTAATTAGAACCCAACAGTGAATGGTCGAGTGGGGAATCCTACCAAGGCATCAGAATTAATTTTAAATAATTAAATTAAATGAAAAAATTCCGGCCAACGGTGGGATTCGATCCTGAGACCTTCCGATCTCAAAGTCATGACTCTAACCACTGAGCCAACACACCCCCCACTTATTAGTTCTTATTTCCATTTTTTTGTAGAAATAATACCAATATTTAGGATTTCAAAGTATACCAATGAAAAAAAATAGCGTAAAGTATTCGTGGATAACTGGTCTTTAAAACACTTGCTCTATTTCGAGCACTCCGGCACATCGTGCGTGTTTTAAAGACCGTTGTATCCACGTATACTTTAATATACTATTATACTCATTTTATAATTAAGATTAGTGCTTCTTTTTTAATAATTTTTTCCTAATAAGGTATAATTTTGCAACCAACAAAATTTGGTTACTAAAGAAATGTGTAAGAGGCCAGAATATTATTTAAGATATTTGAGATATAAACGTGTTTTTACTAATATTTTTACTAGTTAATTTTATTTAAAATAATTATTATTCAATAATAGGTTTAATTAAGGATATTTTAACGGATTTACGTCTTAAATTTATAACAGATAAAAAGAAGCAGATTTTTGATACAAATCAGACAGAAAAGTGGCCTTTGCTTCCTCGTGATGGCATGTCATTTGTCAATTTTATATTCGGTAAACACTGCTGATACACAAAAATTGTAACAGCGCATGATTTGTACCGAAATATTATCGTTTTCCAGCTTGTTGGAACAAACCTATAAAAAATATATTGCATATGTGTATTATCAATATTATCCGTTGTCTATTAAAAACAAAGGCCAAATACGTCATTGATTCATTTGATAGAAAAGAAGAAGTTTAATATTTAACTTAAAAGTTGAACCTGTCAATTATTAAGCATAAATATTAATGCTAATACTAATCATAAATCGAGTATAAATGTCCCCATTACAGTTCATAAAATTTCTAGAGGCGTTCGACGCCCAGACAGAGAACGCGCTACGTGTGACTAAGATAGCTATTGTACAGTCTGCTAAACAAGTTATTTTAAATAGTTTTTAATATTTTTAGGTAATTAAATTTTAAAAGTGTGGAATAGTTTAGGGATTAAATTGGTCTGATTGGACTTTCTTAGAACGTTTTTAAAAGCAGCTAAAGATAGTATGTAGAATTGAAAATAATTATTATGCCATAAAAGGTGTTTTGGAATTCCTTCAACCTTTTGAAATTGAGTCAGAAAATATAAATTTTATAGGATAGCGGAAAATACCTATAATTTTTTGTAGACCTTTGTAAATCGTGGAAATAGTTTATATTTTATTTCTACCTTATTAAGGAAAATGGTACCTATTATTAATAACGGTTGTTTCTGAAACATTACTAAAATTTCCGAAATTTTGTTTTTCTACAAAATAATAAACTATACTACTTAGAAAAACATTTATTTCTCTTATAATTTTATAAAAAATAACAGGGGAATATTTACATTTCTTGATCTATTAAACAAAACGATAAATTATCTCGACGAATGACACCATGTTCTAGTACGGAAGCTAGCTTTACATTTTTGTTGGTGGTTTCATGGGTTTCATATCAATTTTTTGTAATTGTAGTTTACACGTACATATACCTCTTAACACTTGTTTGCTTTATTAAAAAAGTGTGTTGTTGTGATTTACGTCGAAATAAGTCAAAAACAACTTGAAACCCCATATAAAATCAAAAAGGAGAAACGGAAAAAAATTGAGCCTGTAAATGAACACAACTCAGAAACAAAAATAGCTGTCTAATAATAAAAAAATAAAATTTGATTCTTGTGCAGCTTCATCTATATCATTAACTGTTTTTGGTTTTTTAATGGTTTTTCTTGGTGATGAAAATTCCGATATCTCACGGTTATCGATTCTTTTTTTCTCTCCAGAAATGCGGACGACAGTGTTTTTAGGTACTCCTGTGGCTGCAGCAACACGATCATTTACATTTTTAAATGGTATTGAAGGTGAATTAAAGTTTCCTTCAATGTTTTAGCGAAATTTACATCTGACATTTACGTCTGAATGAAATAGTGAAATACTTGATGCGCAGAGTGTACTTTCATTGCGTAAATCCGTCGGGATGCCTGTCAGTAGTGCTTTCTCTGTCTAGCCGTCGAAAGCCTCTAGAAATTTGATGAACTGTACATTGTGGAGTTTCAACTTAATCCTTAAGCAAAATTAATAAGGGAGTATAAATAGACCCTTAGATCCGAACTAAGGTCGACCTTTACCCATCTGTTTAAGGGATAAATGTTTTTTTATTAAATAAAATATTTTTAAATATTTAGTACATGTGTTGTCTAAAAAAATACTGACAAGACTATTTATTTTCTTAAAGTAAAAAAAACCGACACCCTATAAAGTATTCCCCAGATGCTTCGACTATGCCTAAAATTTAATCAGCTCACCACACCTTAAGTTTAAAATTTTGTGTTTTCTCTTCTTCCCTTTTTGAGTTATCTTCAAAATTCAAAATTTGCATTTTTCCTCAAATATCTCGAATACAGTCCATTTTAGAGGAATCATGTATATGACCAAAATTATAGAGAATGAGATCATGAGCTACTTTTATCATGATTCCTATACTTTGGCATTTTGACAACCTTGCGCTTGGGTGGTTTTCGAATCATCACCCTGTCGGTATCTTTGTACATTTACAGAGTTAAGAAAATATTTGGGATAACCCTATTTTGAAATATGATTCCAGATTTAACATTAGCAATAGGGCCAGATTTACCGTTTTTTTAGATGATATTAATCACTTTTTTAATATATCACCCTCACCATGTATTGAAATCTCGCCTTCAATACGAGTTCAACCGTATATAACACTTAATATTTGATGTAGTTAAGTTCCTAATTATTTTAAAAGTTGTTGGTTCTTTTGTCCATTAAATCTAGAATTATGTTCTTTTGACATTAGTTGACCAGTTACATTATTAACTAAAACTAACAGTAGTTTAAGGTGTTTTGAAAAGTTTTGCAAGGTAAATTGCTTCCATAAGATGGTTTTCAGACTTGTTTTTAATTAATTTAAGACCTTCCTAACTACATAAAATCTTAAGTGTTGCATATGGTTGAATTTGTATTAAAAGGGAGATTTCAATAATCACACAACATAGAGTAATATATTTAAAAAAAATAGAGTCTTGCAATATTGCAAATGTCAAATCTGAAATCTCCGTATCTCAATAGGCTCGTATCAAATTTTATAAAATTCAGGAGATAATTATTTGACATTTTCAGACTTTTGTTTTAATATGTATACAGTATCTGTTATCGAACACTTTTCAA